CTCCTCCACCATCTGTGCACCCTTCCTCCTCTACACACCGCGTGCGCTTCTCCTCTTCACGAACATTCGCTAGCTGTATAATGTAGCGCGCATGCGCCGTCACGCTTCGAGAACATCGGCAGCTGACGGGCGCGCATGCGCCGTCGCGCTTCGAGAACATCGGCAGCTGACGCGCGCGCATGCGCCGTTGCGCTTCTCCCCCTTCTCGAACATTCGACAGCTGACAGTGCATGCGCCGTCGCGCTGAATATATACTCAAGGTCGGCGCTCGCTCGCTCAGTTGCCGCTCGTCGGTTGGTTTGTACGGCGCGTCGACGTCCAAGGTCGCGGTGAAATGAATTCCAATGAATCCACAAACACAATGATCGACGTCCCTTTGACCAGCGCCGCCCTTTCGCATACGTGTGTACGTGTTCACTCATTTAACACCCCCTCCTACAACCACGTTAACCAATTTAGCCATCGACCCAAGTAAGTCGCAATTTAACACCCCATTTCACAACCACGTTAACCAATTTAGCCATCGACCCAAGTAAGTCGCACTTTAACACCCCGTTAACCAATTATAAGCTCCGCATCCTCCTCAGTGTTCCCCCGAGGGAAGCTGCGGGCAATTTTTTTTGGCTCCATGTGTGTTCGTGTGGCTTGGACCTGTTTTCTTACAAAACGAGTATTAGCAAATGTTCAGCGGTTGCGCTTCACAATTTTATTTTTTTAGACTTACTTTCCAAATCAGCTCACGAAGTTCAAAAGGGTTCAACCTTTTTTTCAAAACAAAACCGAAACACGGCAATAAACGAAGCCACAAGTACGATTCGCCGCCAGCAAGTACGAAGACTAGGCCAATGTGTGTACTACCCATCATTCCCATGGTCGCTGAACGATCGCAGCGCCAGAGTGCCCTCTAGTTAATTTTAGAAAACTCTATGGGCTGAAAAGCTAAACGGTCCAGAAAAACAGAGCGGAACTGGGCGTGCGGCCGTACCGTGGTTTGACCTTATGCCTTCAAGGACAGAATGGCGATGGTCTTCGTAGCCGGTGGGGTGTAGGAGGTCCTGCAGGGTCGCACATGGCTGTCCTGACGAGACGGCATTTCCTTGAGGAGCCACTTGCGCGCTTCACCGAGAGCAGGAAAAGAAGGGCCGTTACCTTCCGCAAGGTGAGTGCTCCCTCTCTGGTGCTCCGTCGGAGTCCGTATAATATTTGCAAAATGTTTTAGTGATTTCAAGTTTATTTATTCCAATTTCTTGAATGTTAGTTTGCTTATTATCCTTGTGAGTGAGTTAATTATCTCTCCTTCGTTCATGATCAGTTGGGGTTAGATCATTGCTAGCTTTGTTTTGGTCTGTATTGACCGCTTTACATCTCAGTAATTATCACGCCATATAAGATGTATAGATAGATTACCAGCAGCTACCCTTAAGAGCACCAGTATTTGAATTGTTGATATTTTCAATTGTTCTGTTAGCCCTCACACTTTCTGACCATAATGGCTGATCAATAGTTAGCGTTAGGGTATCCCTCTACATTCCCCACCTTTGCCGCTGCGTTTTGATAGAAGAAAAACGTAAGAAACACCAATCTCTATGGTTTTATGGATGCGGTAAAGAACTTCAGTTGCACAAGTTTTATCCGCAGTGATCATTACAGCGTGGTCTTTAATATCATGGTTAGGGAACTAAACCAGCAGGAATCATTGAGAAGTCTTACTAGCAAGAACTACGTTATTATTATTAGGCACGCCACAGTGCATGCGGGTTTATAGAGTATCTTTAAGACCTGCTGGAGAATCTTAACAAAAAATTAGTTGATATTGCGTAGCACATATACCTATAACATTTCACCTCTGTTGAAATGCGACAGCTGCTGCCGTGACCACACTCGCTTCTTCAGGGTACGAGCACAGCGCTCTAACCGCAGCATTATCCCCTCAGTCGAATCCTAAAGTCTCGGCAAATATTATTCCTGTTTTCAGTGATTTGACAGAAATCTTAAAAGGGTAAAGACCATGATTCTTAAAACCAATAGGGTGCAGGATATCCTAGACTGAGATTTAAAGTATTTGGAAAGGCATGTGAACCTTGTCTTCGTACTGAAAGGGAGTCTGAACCTATGAAAAAATTAAGTGATCACATGACACACTCACACGTAGCTGCCGTTATTCAACCAAAAATTAAGTAGTTTTTATGATTTCTTCTTTGTCAACAGATAATGGTGCACGGAAACGCTAGGTGAGGTTATTCGTTGGGAGCTGCGTTCAGGTCGCGTATAGGGAGTGTTAGCCATTCCCTGTGGCAGCACGGAACAACGACGTATGCGATGTCGAAACGACAGTTGCGCGGACAGCTGTGCCCAACTGAACCTTAAGCTCACCGCAACGAGGACCTCTCATACTTCTAGGGTATGGGACACAGTTTCTCGGCATGTACGGGGAAGTTCTCATAGCTTTTGCGTCCGTATAGGAAAACTTTGCAACATTGTATTAAGAAAAATGGCCCCGTATCTGCATGTAATCTGCAAATGTTGTCGAAAGACGATAGTCTTGCGTGTGGAGAGAGTGAACAAGAAGTTTATTTGATGCTGTGCGCAAGAAAATCGGTGAACGGTATTCAGAGGCGCTGCCTTAGAGTGCCTCGGGCGTGCAGCAGAGGCGAACGAACTCACCAAGTCCCGTCACACGTGAGACATAAGCGTCATCTGGCAGTTGTCTTAGAAAACAAAGAGCGTGGCTCTGAGACGGTTGTGTGCGCCCATCTCAGAGGAGATAAGGTGTAGAGCGCAAGGCGACGGGTAGGCGCCACCACCGTTTCGCTTTAGCAAAGCGTTGGAAACACTCGCATTTCCGTGCAAGTATTACATGGTCAGCGCAGAGTGATAAGCGCTACGGTCCTTAAATTTACTTGCGTATGCGTTTTATAGTAACAGACGCACATGCAAAATATATAGGTGTTGTTATAGTGCCGCAAACATGCGCAATAGTTGTTTTCAATTGACAATTGCACAAGAATAAACGCTCAACCTTGGGCAACATAGGTGGGTGCTGCGGATGGCGTCAGCCGTTTCAAGTACCCAATGCCGATATGAGTGGACCGACAGACAGACAGACAGACAGACAGACAGACAGACAGACAGACAGACAGACAGACAGACAGACAGACAGACAGACAGACAGACAGACAGACCAAAAATTTTTGCATCGAAGGTCCCCTAGAAAGACTACCGTCTTTAAAAATGAGGTTTATAGGACCTCGACTTCCTGATTAGCGGGTATGCGCCACAAAACGAGGATAAATCCTACCACTCGCCACCAGTCAATCCAATGCATTATAGTTCATCGTTACTGCCTAGTTTTTTATGTTTTGCTTAGCAGTGGTGTCCTAATCTCTGATAAAGTTTATCGATGCACTCAAGTCTTGTATTTGTGTCAGAGACTTAAACATAGATCTCTACGCTCTCGTTAACTTCAAACACCATTTCTTCAAATATATCTGCAAAGTGACGGTGCTTTACTCGCCAGCGGCCCACTAAAAATGGACGAGGCAACAATATTTCCAAAAAATTGTCGAAAAGGTTAGCGCAGTTCAAACATGATACTCTGCATGCCGGAGAAAGCTGAAACCTGGCATGTAGAGGAGAAGAAGCACGTTAAGTAAGCTTCATTCTGACGCAGTTTTCCAGCATCGCTAATAGACAGTTATAGTATACCGGGATTACCAGGATACCGGGTGTTCTGTGATAGCAGGGTCAAAGAGCGCATGCGCAGATAGGCACCTTTCCAGTACCGCTTACCGTACTCACGATATTTTTTAGATTCAACGTTACCGTGGTAACGTAGCTGTACGTAGAGTACGTAAAACAAGGCGGTGCTCTCGGACCCCGACTTCTAAGTGATTTTGCGTAGTTGTTAAAAGATTCACCTTGTTCGCAGCAAACGACTATTTAAAGTGGCTTCGCTTGCCTTCAGTTAGCTTCGACGATGGTTTGTTACGGATAAATTGGCGTAGTTCTGAGATAGTGCCCCATTTCGAACGTGCCTACGTCTAAATACAAGGTCCCCGCCGCGGTGGTCTAGTGGCTAAGGTACTCGGCTGCTGACCCACAAGTCGTGGGATCCAATCCTGGCTGTGGACTGCAATTACGATGCAGGTGGAAATAGTTGTAGGCCACTGTGCTCAGATTTGGGTGTACGTTAAAGAACACCAGGTGGTCGAAATTCCCGGAGCCCTCCACTACGGCGTCTCTCATAATCATATGGTGGTTTTGGGACGTGAAACCCCACATATCAATCAATCATCAACTAACTACAAGGTCAATGTAACAAAGCGGTAACCTGAATGTTTTCGTGTTTTGTGCGTGGTTCATATTTATTTACTTTTATGATTACTAATATCAACTTGTAACAGTGGTTCACGCAGTGGCACACGTAATCATTTTTGTTTTCCTTCCTTTTCCAAGTTACTTTAACTTACTAAACCTCCGACAGGTGGCGCCACCGTCCAAGCTGGGGCACGTAAACTACGCAAACGGTGTCCTAGGAAACTATAAGACGCTGCCCACAACGAACGTTTGCTGCACAGTAACGCCATTCCCTTAATTTCCGCTATCACGCCAACGGTAAACCATAACTGTCTAATGTAGCTGAAAGACCCTTCCTATGCCTCACGTAGCAGGCTCTGCACCAGCACTGTCTCATTAAAGAAACCTCTCTCAAAACACTGTGGCAACTTACTCGGGCAAGCCCTGCTTTTTGCTATCATCACCCATTATGAACAACTTTGAGTGGGACACAGCTTGCGCACACTCCATACTTTTTCCGTTCTTAGGTTTACGTTAGGGGAGTCAAACACTCTTCCTTGCAACTTTCGCCCTTTCCCATTAAAAAAAAACCTTATATGAGGGCGCCGGACAACATTGCACCCGAACCCCGAGAAACATTTTAAGAAGTTACTGTTAGCAGAAGTTACTGTTAGCTTCACAGTACTAATAATATACCTCCTTACCTGGGTTTATGCTGGCAGTCTGGGGGGCTGATATGGATAGAATCGCCCAATACAATGCTAATTTCTTCATTGTCATCATTTTGAAGGAGCCGTACATAAAATTAACTTCCTCGACAGAACTGTAGTGCCTGCATTGATAGAAACAGTGCAAACCGGAATTAATTTTATATTAGTTTATTACGTATGGCACCTTATATCTTGGGCAAGTGTAAAACTGATTGTATTTTTAAGCGGGCTCAAAGAAGAACCGGGAGAGTCTGCTCACGCTAGATTTATGTACAGGCACTGTATTGCTAGGCACGTAAACAAATCTACTACTGAAGAAGCAGCAAAGCGCAGCTCTATGATGAAAGTTTGGTATAGATATTCAATTTCATACTGCAAACAAAAGTCATACTGTGGTCACATAGCACGCTTAAAGGCCAACTACGGCGATTTTTTTTTTACCATGTCAGCATAATGGTGATCTTATATTCCTTAAAAAACACTCCTCTCACACACCCTATAACTAAAATACTCTAAAAAATGAAAATCATTTACAATTACCGAAAACCGCAACACCAAAACCGAAACCCAACCGTGTGCGCTCTTACGTGTAACGTAAAAATTTGCCTGACGATGCCGGAACCTGCCTGAGCGCACATAATGCCCGCCAGATGGCACTACATGTCCACGCCGATCCACGGGGGTCGGCCTAAAACGCCTACACTGTTATGATGAATATATTGAATATATGGCGAATCGTGTGTGGCTCACAAGGCAACACAACTTGGCACCTATCGCACGCCCACAAACACTAAAAAGGAAATCGCACGCTAAGCCAAGGAAGCACCGGCGAAACCCACACAATCATAGCAGACAAGCAGACGCTGCAGTGGCACATCAGTTCGTCACTTCCGCGAGGCGAAGCTCGACGTCACACACACAATATTGCCGATTCTGGCAAGCGAGGTGGGCGTTTCGAGGCAAGCTACAAAATTCATTTTAAAAGAATCTGCGAAACTCTCAGGCCTGCAATTTGGCATCAAATGGCGCCAACGGGCAAATGAACGTACCCAGTGAAGTTTCACTGAGATCCACTGACCTTGAAAAATTGCCGAAGTTGGGCTTTAAGAGTAGCCACGTTTGGTTATTTACCATTGTCTCTTTTACAAATTCATTAAGATTGAAGAATGATTACTCTGTACTGTTTCTCTTTCGTTACATGAAGTATCTACCTATATTCTAAAGAATTTTGCATATTTTCTTCGATATAAAGATACAATTTATAGCATGGTGCTTCTAAAATCTAAACATGCATATAGAATAAACTCTGATGTCACCTCAATGTCCTTGCAGTGGGAGGGACTTCTGACTTCGGCGGGGTAGGAAGGTAGTTTGAATGTGCTCTTCACAGCAGCATGACTGCGCTGCAATGATATGGAAATAATGAGTCGAAAGAGAGCAAATACCACGTCTCGGCTAAGTTCTTTTAAATAGAAGTAAAAATATACTTGCAAGCCACGTTCTGCCTTTTACTGTAACTTTTTACGCTGATACAACACGTGTAATACGAGCGTTGTCAAAGTGTTTTTAAGTCTCACGTGTTTGCAGACGCGATTACGATTATGCAATACTTTGAACTTTTGAGAAAGTCTTAGAAGCCTCGTCAGCTTCTTAGTAATAACTTTTTTGGTTTACCTTATTCAAACCATCATATGGTTATGAGAGACGCCTCACCTAATGATATCAGAAATTTTGATTACCAGGGCTCTTAAAGGAATAGGGTATAAAAAATAATGCAAAAAACTCTTTTTATGATATTTGACATCTGCCGCCTTCTCTGAATCAGAATCAGTTGTTTGTTTGTCGTAGTGAATTTTTTTTCTAAAATGAGATATTTCAAAATTTGTGTGGTTGCCTGCCATGCCCTCTTTTTACCTAGCAGAGTATTCCGTGTAGTTCAACCATCATAGCCCTACGGGGAAGTTACACTTTCAAGCTGGAATGCATTCGGCTAATTCAGAAAATAATGGGGCCAGAATTGTAATAACGAAAAAAAAAGCAAATGCATCAAGCTTTCTGTCGTAAAATCTGTATCTGGAAGGGAACGTCTTAGTGGTGCCATCATTGACAAGCACCAAAACTAGTATTGTCGGGCCATTAAAAAATTGAGCCAGCTTGGAAGACATGCGGAAGGCTTGGAGGACATGCTAAAAGCGTAGTACAGGAGAGAGAGGGGCAGGATATGCGTATGCGCAAAGGGATGCTAGCGCTGGAAAGAGGGATGCCTGGAAGAAAAAGAAGGGAGATGGAGCGAAGAGGAGGAGTGAGTGGCAGGGGCGCACATGCGCAGTAAGTCTGGTCACGCCGCACACCGTGTTCAGCTCTACCATAAGAAGCAGCTTCCCATCTAAAGAATGTTGTCCGTATAGTCATGACGTTCACGAAGGCAGTGGCTGGTATGTCCAACATGAAACTGCTTATTAGCTGAAATTGTGGCTGGTAAACGGAAAATTATAATACAACAGTTTTCCCTCCTGAAGCTGCACTGTTTAGTCTTCCAGGCGATGGTCAGACGCCGTGGTAGGCGGATGAAGTGGTGACGAGGAACGGCGCATAGGAGACGGTGAGCGACGGCACGAGGAGCGGAAGGTACTGGCTGCATCGAAGTGCTGTAGAGATGGTGGGCGGCGTTGGTACAGTTGGTATGGGATGTTCTGGAGCAGAGTCAAACTCATCCCTCTCGAAGTCATCATAGCCGCGCCTTTCGTCTTGTTGACGCCGATGGCAGAACCGTGACATGCGGCCGCGTATTCCGCCGTAATAGCGAATTGGTTGATATGCACGCCCGGCATGGAAAGAAGGAGGCGTTGCCCGTGGGACGAGGACATTCAGTGAAGGCTGCGTAGTTGACCCATACTGCGGTGATTGCTGAGAAGGTGACGCTGCAACAACCTGAGCGTACGTCGGGTTTGTAGTGGTATGCGAGCTCGGGACTTGCTCACACATCATGACTGCTAATTCCTACCTCCCCATGTTGCGGAGGCTGCCTGCAGAAGGCGTCATGCGAAGTTCATAAGACGAAGAGGTGGCCTGAAGTTGCAGCTCCTCGCGGAACATGGACCGCATCAATGCACGGAGCTCACTGTCATGCGTTGGCCTGAGATCTGCTGTGTCAGGTTGTAAACGTATAAGTTGAAGGTCATCGAGTCGCTGACACGTACTGATGATATCCGTGACCATAGTGGGTTCTTTGTCGCTAAAGCGTTAAATGCGACAGTGCCTATACCCTTGAGCAGGTGGCGAATGCTGTCATGCTCCGCCATCGAGCTGTCGACACGACGGCATAGGGCGAGGACATCTTCAATGTACGATGTATAATACTCGCCGGAGTGCTGAAAACGTTCAGCAAGCTTCCGTTTGGCTATTTCTGCACGGACAGAAGGGTTGGCAAATATCTGATGCAGCTGCAGCTTAAAGGTAGGCCAGTCTAGGAAATCAAGCTGATGTTTGAAAAATCAGGTCTTATCGACCCCCGTCAGATATAACGGTACGCGGGCAGCTTCACAGATACATGCCAATAGTTAAGCGCACTCACACGGCCATACTCATCCAACCAGTCTTCAACGTCTTCACCTAGAAGGCCGGCGAAGATCGGGGGATCTTTTTTAGGGGCGGTGACAGTCCAAAAAGGCATGCCCAGTAGGTCCAGGCGAGGTGGATAGAGCCGTGTAGTTGTGCTCGTCTTGCGACATGACCGTGGGCTGACCGCACAGACGGCGACCCTACCGGAGCTCCAGAGATGGTTTGTAGATGAAGATGACGAAAAAGCACTGCAGGGAGAGGACCAGGGGACCGGAAGGCACTCTCTACCACTTGTAAGGCAACGTTCTAGCTGCAAGACACTTCTTTTACTTGCCGAGCCTCTGCCTCCCAAAACAGGTCAGACTGATGATGATGAGTATGTACATATGATAAAATGACGCGTATGAATGAGGCTCACAATTAATACTGGCACTGATATCGGTTAGCTGAGCATCGGCCGTCGACCAATTGACAAGCGGTGATAAGCCTGGACACTTACGTGTGTGCCGTCGAATATTACAGCGTTATCGCTAGCGGCCACAAAAGTTCCAGAAGAATCTGTACTGTTCGCGTCTTGCGCGAGCTTAGCAAAAGTATCTACTGCTATCATGAATGTTCTCGGGCACTGGAGGCGGGGTTAGCGCTGAGAATTGCAGAGAGTCTTTTTAGTCGTAACCCGAATACAGAAAAAGTGAAATAAGAAATGTGCGTGCATCGGGCAGGTACACATCTGTTACTGATAAGTTAATTGTGTTTGTTGTTTCGTCTTACTTTCAACGCTGAAGCATGTATTTGGGAGTTTTAATGAAATTGCATTGGAGAAAGACAGTCAAGTTCAGCTGTTCTCATTTGAGGAAACTCTTCTAGAGGCTTTCTGTGTTGCATGCTGAGCATTCTAATATGTAGAAGAACTGTAGAAGATTATGCACACGAATATATAGAAGTCGGTGCAAGAACGCGTGAGAAAATTGTACGAAAATATGTACACGAATATGCAGAAGCAATAGTGGAATATTGTACAGACAAAATTATGTAGGAAAAATATAGGAGAATATGTATACAACGATATGTAGAAGAATATCTGGAAGAATTATGGGAGAAAATTTACACAAACATGCGTACACGGAGAATGTCTAGAAGAATATTTGGGAGAATTGTATTAGAATGTGTACGCGAATATGTAGAAGAAAGTGTAGGGAGCGAGTATGTAAAAAAATACGCAAGAAAATTGTAGGAGAACATGTAGACGAGTATGTAGAAGTATACATGAATACCTTATACAAAGTAGGCAAATATGGAGGAGTCAGTACACGAATACCTACACAATAAATATGTAAATGAATATGGAGTAGAATTGGAGGGGAATGTAGAAAGACAATGTGTAGCTGAATTGTAAAAGAATATGCGCACGATGAATATGCAGAAGGATATGTAGCAGAATTGTAGAATATCTACACGCCTACGTACAAGTCAGTGCACGAATATCTACAATTGTAGAACAATACGTACACGAATATATAGGGGTCAGTACACGAATATATTGGAGAATACTAGGAAAATT